TCCTTAAATGTTTATGTATAAAATAACATTCACAAAAATATAAATAATTTTTTCGAGACGGTGTGAAATACGGTAAGTTTAACTGTTCCTAAAGTTTTAATGTCTACCGTTACAACATTTTCAGAGATCTTCACAGAATAAGCACTATGATGCAAATCATAATTTAAGGTAATTAATAAATAGCAATGAAAACAAATTATTGTATTGTTGTCTTAATTAATAATGATGTTTTCTATTATACCGAAAGAAAGATTAGGATACCTAATAAAACACAAAACTTGATTTTGTAAAAAATACCATTAATTTTTAACCATGGCACGCAAAAATTTGAAGATGAAATTTCTGAATTAGATGGAAAAATAATGTCTCCTTTTATTAAATTTGGAATTGATCCATGTTCAAACGTATCTATTAGTCCTTTTGTGATAAAATTATATACGATAATTTAAGCTGCGTCCGCATACAAAGTGAAAAATGTACATTTTTTCTACATCTAATAAGGGTAGCTAAATATTTTAAGTCTTTATGTTTTACTTCGTATCTAATGGAGCTAACATGTATTACAAGTCCAATTTTCTTTATTATATTAAAACTAAATTTAGGCTTTAAATTTTCTTTAAATAATTCTAAACACATTAGGTGATGGTCTTCTATAAGACATTTGAAAAAATCAATGAATTCATCATTAAAGATAGACAAAAATAACATTTCGGTTATTTCTATAAAATTAAGTATAGTATCCATGTTTTATCATTTTCTGGGAGTAAATCTCTGATAATTAAACGAAAATTTAAAACTAAGGAAAGCATGAAGATGACAGTAATATACCCGTTTCTAATTTGTTTGGAGGAATGGTTTTATTTATACATAGTATAAGAGTAATACTTAATTCGACCATTTTTAATTTAGCTTAATGTAAAATAGTTATTAGTTAATAAATTGTTAATAATTTTCTCCATTTCATAACGATGGATTCCTTCGAAAAGGTTATGCATTAAATCAAAACTAATATTTTTATATATGTGAAAGTCATCCAGTTCAATGAAAATGCAATTTTTCTTAACACCATAATCAGAAGCAGTTAAATGTTCTAAATAGTCTTCTTCTTGTCTAAAACTACATTACACACTCCTACGATGTATTACACAGTACAGTACACCACAGACCATACACCATACACACTCACTACACTGCAAGTTATGAAACACAAACACATACGAGACGAGTAACTGCATGTTGTAGAAGTTAAAAGTCTAAATGCCTTTGGCTGCCGCTGAAGGTTATTCCACGCTTTTCGCCGTAGTTTTAAAAATATGAATATTTTGAATTAAAACAATATACTAAAATCAACTATACCACATCTTTAAATGCAGTTTATTTGAAAATTTAAAGATTTGATAGTTTTATGTCAATAAATACTATTATTCCTTTGATAAAATAAGTGTTTCAATTTGGATTCATGATTTATTTGTTTTAAATAATTTCATTTAAATTAAAATAACCAAAATGTAGATGCAACCTTAAAACATGATTGTTTTAAAGAAATTGATTTGTTTTACATTATAATTTACTAAGTTTTAATACATTATATTATAAGTTTAAATTTAGGATGTCTTTGACTTTAATACATTTCCTAAACATAAAATATAATTGTTCTAAATACAAGAGTAATACTGAAATAAAGATATATGATCAAATTAAATAAATATTTCTTCATAAGAAACAATTACTTTTAAAGAAATTTGTAGTTTATTATTAAAGATACGTTTTTATGTGTGTGTGACAAAGTTAGGATCTAACAAAACATGAAATATTTTTTTTATGAGCATATAGTCCTTTGTTTTTCAGATACAGGGAAACAAGGATAAAGATTTTTTAAATAAAATTTTATTTATGTAGGTATTTCCCAAAAAAAGAAAAATGGCATAATGTATTGAAATTCGATATAGATAAGTTGTCAAAGGTGCTAAATGTGATAGTGTTAGTTAAAAAAAATTATTCGCGTTTAACGAATACTAATATATCTTTTTAAGGAAGTTTGTACTAAGGGTGACTTTATCTAAATCGTTTATAGTCCAGGCGATAGAGCATTCTAGGCGTTTGTATTTGAACTCATCTATTTTGTTGCGCAGACAAATCCCAAATATTATGTGGAATAAGAATCCGAGTTTGCCTATTCCAAAAAACCATTGCAAAATTCAGGGGAACAACAAACATACAAAAAAAAAAATGAAAAATGACCCATTTTCGACATATTTTTCCCTGTAACATTGAAAGTAAGCTGTAAATAAAAAAAGTAATTCTTTATTTTTTGTTTAATTGACGATTTTCTATAAAGTTACAACTGCTAATCAAAAAAGTTGAATTTTGCATTAACACTGGGCGAAAAATAGTAGAAAATCATGTATATTTGGAGCAATTCTAAAAATAGGTAAATATTTATAAATGTTGATGAAACTTTGTGAACAAATAATAAAACATATGTCAATTCTACCCTAAAAATTTTGCAAAGATCGATTGCGTGGTTTTCGATTGACAGGATTGTTAATTATGAAAATTTAAAAAAGTTTATCGTGTACCGTGGGTATAAATTAAGGTTTACAAAGGGCACATAATTTTTTAGAGATATTTATTGTCATAATAAACAATGATCAATACTAAAAATACCTATTTTTACACTTTTATAACCATTTACAATTAGAACATTTTACTAATTTTCTCTGCAATTGACAAAATCTTGCACACATAAAAACTACGTCGCAACCCCTTGCTTTTTAGTCAAACTGAGATATAGAAGCGTAGAGTTAATAATAATTTATAGCTAACGTAATCGTGAAATCGAAAAAAAAATATGTTTTATAGCTAACTACAAGTACTTTCAATATCCGTTTAGTGCATTTTCGGCAGATAAAAGCTTAATGAAAAAAAAATCAAGGAAGCGGGGGTAAGGATGATTGAGAGCAGCTGCCGCGCGCCAGATAGATTTCAAAATGCGTAAGATGATTTTTTTTTAATTTGATATAGGAAAATGAGAGGAATTCGAATATGTCATCAAAAATCAATAAAATAAATCATTATTGCACGAAATTTGAGTTTAAAGAATTATGCCAGTTTCGTTTGCTTTTAAAAAATTGTTATGTTATGGTAATCAAGTTATATTAGTTTGTGTTCATCAATACATTCCACGAAATTCACGTTTTAATGATTAAATTAAAAATTTTTTTGTTATTTTAATGATTTCTCTGTTAATTCATTGAAGTATAACAAAATTTTCTTCTATATCTCAGAATCTACACAGTAGAATTCTGTCGTATTTGGCTAAAAAGCAAGGGGTTACGACGTAATTTTTATGTGTACAAGATTTTGTCGATTGCATAGTAAATTCCCTGGGCAATAAACAATTGTTTATAGAGTAAAATATCGAAAATTTTTAAAAAATTTGTAAATGATTATAAAAGTGTAAAAATTGTGTGCCCTTTCTAAACCTTAATTTATACCCACGGTACGCGATAAACTTTTTAAAATTTTCATAATTAACAATCCTGTCAATCGAAAATCAAGCCATCGATCGTTGCAAAATTTTTAGGGTCGAATTGACATATGTATTGCTATTTGTTCATAAAGTTTCATCAATATTTATAAATATTTACTTATTTTAAAAATTGGTGCAAGTATACATATGATTTTCTACTATTTTTCGCCCATTGTTAATGTAAAATTCAACTTTTTTTATTTGCAGTTGTTGTGACTATAGAAAATCGTCGAATAAACGAAAAATAAGGAATGACTTTTTTTTATTTGGGACTTACTTTCAATGTTACAGAGAAAAATATGTGAAAAGGGGTCATTTTTCGTTCCTTTTGTATGTTTGTTGTTCTCCTGAATTTAGCAATGGTTTTTTGGAACAGGCAAACTCGGATTCCTATTTTAAATAATATTTGTGATTTTTCTGTATAACAAAATAGATTACTTCAGACACAAACGCCAAATGATGCGAATTAAACGATCATTTTTTATGTAAAATAAAATTTTACATAAAAAATGAACTGTAGATAGTAAAATGTCTAACCATAAAAAAGCTGTCATGAAATTCCACTAAGTACCAAATTGCAATGGATTACTTTATTTTTTGGAAAATATATGACTAAAAGAGAAGAAAATTGTTAGTCTGTAAGAAAAAATCGGCAGGTTTTTTATTCAATCAATTCCTGATTTATTGTACTTTTTTTTAAACACCCTATAGGCTTTACAAGTCTAGCAGCAGCCTTTTCCTAGGGAATTCCATTTGTCTTTATTTTGTAAAATTAACAATCAAAACAATGTCATCATATTTGTTCTCTTTGTATTAAAGAGATCTATTTTAAGACAAACATATTAAATAAATGTATTACAATTTTATTATTTGTGGAATCAATGCCAGCTTATCCAAATGTGAAAATTTAAATTTAAATTTTTTTTTGTCTAAAATAAAAAGTAGATGTGTATTGAAGATCTATCTGATAAGTCTCAGTGGTTTGCTTCGTACTTACATAATAAATTAAATCTAAAAATAAAAATATATTTAAACATTTAATTAAAAACCACACATTAATCTGTATTCACTGTTATATTAATTTTAATAATTTTTAATTGATGTTTACTTCGCTAAATTCGTAGTAATTCCAAGTTAGACATTCTCATGACTTATTAAACTTACTTTATATAGTGACAGCGTGTAACGTTCCGGCTAATTACTAAAAAATAGCGCCAGTAAGTCACAGACTACAACAGTGTCGATTAATTAGAGTGACATAATTTTAATCCATCTATATTAACACAAAGCAACAAATAACGCCCATGTGAGTCCACTTCTATTACTAATCCGCACAAACAACAATTAACACACAACCAGATGCTGCGTCTAAATTTCGTTTTCTTCCGAAGCGCTCCAATTATCGCTAATGGGAAGCACTTGATCCGTCAGCTGCGGTCTGCGAGGAAAGTAACCCCAGACTTGCAACTCATGGTATATCACAGCGTTGCAGTATCGCGTGGTAGGGAAATCCGAGCTTGGCCTTAACACTTTATATAAAAACGTTAAATTCATTGACTCCTGCTTTAGTCTAAATCATCGCCGATTAGGATTTGCCTGGCAGGGGTTAGCCTAGTCGGATCGAACGGTTTCGTGCGGTGTCTCAGTGAAATTGAAAGTGCGGCAGGATGCCACCCCAGGAAAACGTCTCGGTTTCGGCGCCCAAAGGGCAGGACTCCCTCGAGGACCTGTCGCAGGGCAAAAGTGGATATACCAACGCGGCTTTCGTGAGTGATCCACCGGAAAAGAACGGAACCGAAGTGGTTAAGAAGGAGGAATTGAACGAACCGTTCGAGTTTGATGATTTGCTGCCTCACATTGGCGAGTTCGGGATCTATCAGAAAATTCTGTTTTTGTTGATGATCCCCTTTTCGTTTTTCGTGGCCTGGGTTTATTTTACGCAAATTTTCATCACGATTGTTCCCGAGGGTCACTGGTGTTGGGTCCCAGAACTCGCCAATTTATCGATAGAAGAAAGGTAAATAAAGCAGGGTCTTTTTACTTAGAATCGTCTTCAATATCATTAAAATCACGTACTTGAATAAAGACATCTCGAATTATAAAGTGAATTTGCAATTATAGTCCAACCAAATTACACTTGGAGAAAAAAAAAAGTTATCTGGACTTTTATAAGTGGAAATGGTAATAGGTCTCATAATAAACCTAAAAAAAATAAATGCGTGAGCAGGGGCGGCGGAGGGCTGATTTGGGGGGTTGAAAAGTTATGAAAAATTGTATTATTGGGATTTCTGGCGAAAATTGACATCAAACAAAAACGTATTCAATACAAAAGTTGTAGATCATACAACTTTTGTAGAGGTCACTTTTTAACATAACCTCAAAATTTCTGAGAAAAATGCGAAAAACTGGTTTTTTCCTGATTTTTCGTTTTTAATTTCTCATTTCCGCAAAAATAATTTAATTTTGACGAAACTTGGGGAAAGTATACCTTTCTCAGTCTTAAAAAACCTAAATTTTTTTTAGATAAAAAAATCAAGAAGTTTCTGAGATATTCATTTTTTTCGACCTGAAACACTTTTTTTTCAAAGAAAAATTCTACTTCAAAATTGAATGGTGTAATCAGTTTTTGAATGTTTTTTAATTTAAACAAATTATCAACAATAACTGAAAAATTGTAGCAAGTAATTTTTTTGCATTTTTGAGCATGTTTTTGAAATGTTATTACATTTTTTTGTTTCACCAAAGAGTATATGTTAAAACGAAAAAAATGATTACGGCAGAACTCTGTACGATGATTTTTTTAAGTAGAATTTTAGAATTTTTCTTTAAAAGAAAAGTATTTCAGGCAGAAAAAAAAGAATATCTCATAAACTTCTTTCAGAAATTTTGAGGTTATTTTAAAGAATGGCCTCTACAAAAGTTGTAGATTTTTGCATGATCTACAACTTTTGTATTAGATACTTTTTTGTTTGACGTCAACTTTCGCCAGAAATCCCAATGATACAATTTTTCATAACTTTTCAACACTCAAATCAACCCTCCGCCGCCCCTGCTCACGCATTTATTTTTTTTTCGTTTATTATAAGCCCCTTTACCATTTCCACTTATAAATGTCCAGGTAAACAAAATTTTTTTTCCCTCTAAATGAGTTATTTTGATGGGTTTATTATAGTGATGTGAGTGAAAATATATAACAAATTGATATATATCAATTTTTGATACATATCAGCTATTATATATATGTTAATAGCTGATATATATCAATTTTCCCGCCATTTCATCAATAAAGCCAAATTTCAAACTTATCCTTACATTTTAAAACTCTTGGGTACCTGGCATATCTCCGACAAAAATGAATATAAAAATTTGAAATTTTAGGAGTGTACTATAGATGGGAAGAACTAAGAGTGCACGTAATTTCATGTCACCCCTTCCACCCTTGGGGGTGAGGGGTGTTTTTTTTTAGATGTACCCTACTCATTTTGCGAGTTTCGGATTCTACGCGTAAAACTACCCCCGAAAGCGCGTTCTTGCCGAATTCACACAAAAACCAAACCACCACCCTCGTATGGACTTTGTCGTTTTTTGGATGAGCATTTTTCTTGGGCACATCTCCGTCAAAAATAAATATAGAAATCTGAAATTTTAGGGGTGTACTATAAGTGGGGCGACCTAAGAGCGAACGTGATTTCAACTCATCCTTTCCACCCTAGTAGGTGCAGAGGGGGTGAGGGGTGGTCTTTTAGACGTATCCCCAAGAACGCGTTTCCGGGGGTAGTTTTACGCGTAGAATCCGAAAATCGCAAAATAGGGTACGTCTAAAAAAAACCCCTTCACCCCACCCCCTAGGGTGGAAGGGGTGAGTTGAAATTACATGCGCTCTTAGGTCTCCCCATCTATAGTACACCCCTAAAATTTCAGATTTTTAAGTACTACTTTAAAGCAGTTCTTTATTATCATAAGTTTTTGATAATTTTTATTTCAATTTTTATCTTTATTTTTTTTTAAGTACGTATTGTGATATACAAAGACAAAATTTTCTTGTTCTAGAAATTTCCCATTTTTTATTTGTGGGTTGATAAAACTAAATTGCTAATAAACAGCGTACTTGCTTATAAACAGTCAGTAGTACGCAACAAAAATTAGAAATCATTATGATAAAAAAAATAAAAAATTCCCATCTAAATATGAAAAAAAATAAAGATCACTTGATAACTTTTCTAAAAGTTCATATATATGACATGTATTTGGTGTCAAATTAATCAGCAAGGCATTAGCAATATAAAAAAACTAATTTGAGTATAGTTTTTTTTTTAACAAAATTCATCTGATATATATAATGATATATATTTTGATATATATCACCCAAAACTAAATAGCATGCTATTTTACATCACTAGTTTATTAGATTAAAATTATGTACAAATATTAACACAAGTAGTGAAAAATTTATGTATTCTATACTATATGTCTAAAGGTATACGAATTTAGCTATTCAAAAATGCTTCAGACACAAAATAAAGTTAGGAATACGAATACCTATTACATCGGTATGTTTTTGTAAAATTATGTTGCTGTTGTTTTCGTTCAAACTGACTGAGCTTGATGCTCTTATCCGACTTAAATTTGAATCAGTTTCTAAGTCGCATGTAAATTTGAAAAATCCGGGCGCAACATCAAAAAAGTAGTGTTCATATCTGGAGAACAATTATTATTTTAATAAACTCAAATCTGTAGGTAATGTTTTTTTATATATTCAGATGTAATGACTAAATAAGTGACCTTGGCGTTGCAAAGATGGCTTTGTATTTATCAGGAGATTCTCCGTATGGCCATATTAAAAGCATAACGTGTCTGTACTTATAAAGAATCCATAATAAGCGATAGGTACTTTATTAATGTTTTTAAACGTCTATAAATTCACAAGGGTTACCTACATATTTTGAGAAAATCTTGTTACAAACTGTTATACAGGGTGTCCTGTTAATGTTTCAAAAAAACTTGTGTGCAAGTTCCTCATGGGAAAATAATAGGGGTAGTTCATGTAAAGCCCTGTTTTCGAGATACAGTGTGTTGAAGTTGTTACTTTCCAAACGGTTTTCCTTAATTATCTTTAACTCGGCTAAAGATAAAAATGTGAAAATACACGCGTAAACATCTATGCGTTAAGAATAATGTGCAAACGGTTTCTTTCTGAAAAACAGTTTCGCCGATACAGGTAATTCAAGGGGTACAATTGAAGAAAAAATATGTTAAAAGTTAAAATTTATTACATTTCTAAACGGTTCTGTAAACTCTAAAGGATACTACAAAAAAAGGTATACTTGTCGAAATTCGGTAGCATGTACCATTTTCGAGAAATAAAGTTGCATTTTTTTTGCTCACATAAAGCGGCACAAGTACATTAACAAAATATTAAATTGAGAGGACCTTACCATTGAATGATATGAAGACATTTAGCTACCAACAGTATTTGCATTTAAGAGACTATAATTTTAATTTCTTACGTATCACATGAAACAGTTAAATTGTAAAACATTTTATTAACTAGAAAAAAAATTAAAATTTATTTTAAGTTTCAGTTTGTTCTAAACTAACATTTAAAAAAGTAAATCAAAATAAACAGATTATGGTTATTAATTATCTATTATTAACTAATTTTAGGTTTTGTAAACTACTACACTACCATTACTAAAATAAACAATTGTTAAATGGACTAAATTGTTGATGGACATGAATGCTTAAAAAAAAGTGATAAAATCAGAAAAATACAGAACAAAACAGCTACACAATTAAATAAATGCGCAAACGCGAAATACTACAGTAGATACTGAAATTGTCCCCCAATTCCTTCTATGTAACTTCATTTTTCTCGAAATTTTGACAAGTATACCTTTTTTTTGTAGTATAATTTAGAGTTTACAGAACTGTTTAGAAATGTACATAATAAATTTTGACTTTTACCATTTTTTTTTTCCATTGTACCCCTCCAATTACCTGTATCGGCGACACTGCTTTTCAGAAAGAAACTGTTTGCACATTATTCTTAACGTACAGTTGATGTGTACTCGTGTACAAATTTTGACATTTCTGTTTTTAGCTGATTTTTATATAATTAAGGAAAACCATTTGGAAAGTAAGAACTTCAACACACTGTATCTCGAAAACAAGGCGTCTAAAAAAAACTTTATATGAACTACCCCTATTATTTTTCCATGGGGAACTTGCACACAAGTTTTTTTTAAACACGGGACACCCTGTATAATCCTAATAGTTGTCTCACTAAATAGATTCAGATCTGATTCTATTTTTGTTTTAATGTTGATACTCGAATTATCAGTGCCAATTATGGTATACCTAAGTATTTGGCCGTAGTGAGTCATAATTATCAGAGTTGCCGAAAAATATGTGTCGGGAACCCAGTTTTTCACAGTCCCCTTAATAAAAAACTGATGATATCTGCCTTTTGGAAAATGTAATTTCTGACGTTGTTGCATGGCAGTTTTTGAAAAAAAAATTAATAAAGAGCATACTTTTCTTTATGTAATGCTATAACCAACAACAACATGTCAAAAAGACTCTTATGTTCATCTTCAGATATAAATAAATGATTTTCAAACACCAAAATGGTTATTTAAGACGCTGTATTTAATTAAATGTTACTACATACAATTATACTATTGCTTTGTTCCATTCATAGATATTATTAGTATTACTATTTTTTTTTTCGTTGGGAATAACTCTTTTTGTTTTGAATCAAATTAAACACATATTCAAATAGAAATATCCAGTCAAACTAGATTTGAAAAATATTGAAAACGAAATGCACTATGTACTATTTTTATCCACAATTATTTAAATCCATACTTAATATCTGTCGAAGTATGAAGTAATTAATTTAACACGTTGCAATTTTATCATATAACTAACCTAATTGCAAAAATGAAAAAATAAATTCCTCAGAGGTGTATCTACTGCTCAACCTTCGTGAAAGTGGTTGCAATTTTTATTTAATTA